AGAGAGAGAGAGAGAGAGAGAGAGAGGAAGGAAGATGGAGAAAAGAAATCGGAAATCGGATACAGCCGGTCGAAATGATTCGTTTTGTTCGCAACAAATAATTCGCGATGACGAGGTACATTTCATCCCGGTGATGGACCGCGTATTTAATTTCTTTTCACCGGGACTAATGTATATCGACTCCAAATTCCTTTTCTTCTCGTTCTACTTTCCTTTCCCCGATATGGATGATGTAACACAGGCGGGCGGGCACAGTTAAATAGGCACACGTGTGTTCTCGCGTATTTTTCTCACGCGTCGGTGTGCACACACAGGCGCGATCTGTAATTCGGCCTGTCATTGTTCACTCCGGATTCGTGACATTAATTTATCCCTCTTTTCGGAATACGTTGGAGTAATCCTTTGTCTCAGTTAGGCCGTCGAGATCAAAGACGAGGAGGAGGCTTGAAATTAGTAATGCTCTTTACGCGAACGATTCTTCTTCTTCTTCTTCTTTTTTTTTCTCTTGAATTTTAAAAAATAAAAAGTATTATTATTTCGACGAATAACAATTTAACGAGAGGGCAATTTGACGATTTAAAATCGGCCGCGTGATCCGCTGGCCGATTCTCGAAATTCAAACACGTTTTTTGAATGAAATCTCGATCGTGGCGACCGTGACACAAGCAGGAAAGAAATCTTCAAGTTGACCTAGCGTAGGTACGTGCCAATTTCCCGGTGGGAAATTTTCAAATGGCGCTCATGGAACCGGAACCGTACCCTCGATTCTGGTGTTTCTCGTTTACCTCGTACTTGGCTCATGAACGAGCTTTTCAGGCCACGAGTGCCATACTTGGCGAGTACGCCAGATTAATTACCTCCAACAGCGAGTCCAGAGCAAGAAGAAGGATACGTTGAATTTAGAGATTAAACGGAGGGGAATGGACAGTTTTAAAATCGCAAATAAGAATCATCTTTCTTCCGATATTCGAAACTTTTGCACGATATATATCGCTTTATGGTTTATATAATTCCACGCAAAAGAAAAAAAAGAAAAGAAAAAAGAACGGATAGATATTCGTTTATTAACGAGAAAGATTGTAAAAGTACGAGTGTTAAAAACCATTTCCGTTCGAGAATTTTGCTCGATTCGTTTAACGGGATTCATTAACGAGGAGAAAATTAACTAAACTGAAAATGTAAAAAACATTGAGAATAACTCGATGATCATCGTTGATATCAAAAAAATAATATAAAAAGGAATAACGATCACGTGGATGAAAATTATTAAACGATGATTTGCTAGCTCTCGTGTAACAATTTTTTTTTTTACAATTTAAATATACAAATTTTCAAAGAAAACAATGCTACGATAAATTCTATTGAAAAACCTTTGTACAATATAACTGTTTGAGACTCTTTCGAATCTCTCGAATCACTCGGTGGAATTAAAGAAAGTATCTTTCTCTCCGGAGGAACGGGAAGACCGACGACAGAAAAGATGCGAAAAAGAATGAAAAGAAATAAGAGCAGAGGAGTTGAAAGGAGAGGTGCAACGAGTGACAGAACACCGAGGAACAAAGTGGTAGATGCCTATTGGAGATCCAGAGAGGTGGAACTGCGTTGTTCTTAATGTTCTGTGTCGTTTGTCGTTTCGTCGTGTATCGAGTAGCGGATGGAAGAAGGAAGGGAGAGGATGGAACGAGGAAAAAGAAAAGGAGAAAAGAGGAAGGAGTGGGGAAGGTTAGAACAGCTCAAATGGGGTGACGGTGACGGTGGTGGCGGTGGTGGTTGGCGGTTGCAAAAGCAATGCCCTTAGTCGCGGTGACCTGGTTACCTGGCCCATATCTGTGCCACCGTACTAGCAATGCTACCCCAAATCCTGCCCCTCCTCGAACCAGCTTCCACGTCCTATACTTTCTGCAAGCTCGTCGTGGTGGTTTCCTCCTCTATCACTTGCTAATCCTACTTTCGCGCCTTCATATTTTCCGCGATCACTCGTCGTATCTTCGTCCTGGTCATCTTTTCACCATGTATATTACATTAATTACATTTTTTAAATTATCCCATTTATGCGTTACGTGCAAATACACAATTAAATGGCCGGATACTGTAATTTTAAATATAAACTTTTTTAATTTGTTAACAATTAACGTTAATTTGTGAGTTTGCTTTTTAAATATAACATCGCAATTTATAGAAGTTACTAACTATTTGCTTAATACAACTATTCCTTTTTTTTTTGCAACGATTCCTTTTTCTACGTTAAGAATGCATCCTCGTATTGGACCGCCAATCAACGGTTCTAAGGACTTTCCTATTAATTAGTCTGCCTATTGTTTCACTCTAATAGGTGACACTTCTTCTCTCACCTTTTTTCCTGTATTGTTTCACTTAGCTACGATAGTCTTGAATAAACGGTTTCGTATAACACAATGTTCAAGTACCTTTTCTTTTCAGAATCAATCGAAAAATGGAGATATCTGTAACGTTGATGTGATAAACTGTATACCTTTCTTTGAATTAGAAATTTTTTTTAAAATTCGAATCGTTGATTAAACAAGATTAAATGACGTAATTAAATAAAAAAAAAAAAGATTTATATTAAGAATAAGAATAAGAAAATATTAGAAACATTTACTTACGATACAAATGATTAATTAGCATCAATATCATATTATAATAAAAATGTACATTCATCTTGAAACGTATTGTCAAGTGTTCGATGAATATTTGCAAGAAATGTATGGTTATGACATCAATCAAGAAAATATTGACAAATATTGATTTTTTCTTTCTATCATGATCGACTTTTTCCAATATACCATATTCGAAATTTGACTGAATATAAATTTAAATGTTATATGTATGCATAGATTTCATTAACGGATAGATACACTCGTATCACATTCGAACACATTCGGATTTCAATATTTCCGGTTACTCGATTGCTATGCGTCGAATCTCAATTAATTTTGCTTTAGAAAATGAAAACACTGTTTGAATTTTCCAGATCAGTATTTTTTTAAACGAACCTTTGTTAATTACACACAAAAATAAGTTTTTGCTTTATTTCACACAAAATTGTACACGAACAAAATCGGCCAATGGCATTTGAGTGAAGTTGTTTCAGGAAACAAAAGCGATATATCGATACATCGATTAAGTTATTCGTCTTGTTTAGACCATATTTTATATAATTATCCTATTGGGTGACATTAAAATTTTTACTTCTTAATTGGAACGCATTATCGAATTATAAAAAATTTGCCATGAAATAACGAGTATCGAAAGAACAAAGTTATATTTAATAATTAGTTTTTTGACAACTGAAAGAAATTATCCGATTGTTTAACTATCACTAATGCGGTTTCTCAAGATCTTTACACTTCTTTTTTCAAGTAGGTGCAATTTTACGAGTAATCCTCCGACAACGGAAAAAACATGCAGTTACACCCTTATATCTTGACAGGGCACTACTTCTTACCGAGACAATTGCTTGGAAGACAGCCGGTAGCAAGTGTCGCTTCTCTGGCCGCACAAAGGCTCGAATAACTCTGAACAAAGAGTGATAAAGTATGCCTCGTGAACACAACGTTTTCTTCTTTTTTCACCGTTCTCATCCCATTAAGTTCTAATTAACGAACAATTTGTTGAGCTTTTGTTTAATTTTTCTTTACGAAACAGAACTTGTGATTCGAATTCTATAAATCGTGATACATAGTAAATCGAAAGGTTATGAAAATAAAAAAAAAGAAAAATAGTTAATTATTTTTATGGTTTTTCTTTTAGAAACAATTCAATTCAATATGATTTTATTAGAATAGATATTATATTAGGAATATAATAGGATTATAAACAGAGGGCGGCACATATTCGTGTCACGGTCGTTAAGTGAACCCGTTTATGTCAAACGATGTAAGTACTCGTACATATATCGGTCGTAAACGCGTCCGCTTATTAAACTTCTGTATTACGGTATACATACAAGCCGTAATGAATTTCAACGATTGACAAAGAGACTGGAGAAACTTCGATATCCGAGTTATGTGAAAATTGAAGACTTGTATTCATGGCTTATATTAAACATAACCTTAAAAATGATCGAAATTAATAGTTTCAAATTTTTTCGATTTTAATATTTAAGGTAAGAATGATTCTATTCTACTTTTTTTAATTTAAACTTATCTTAATTTTATCTTTTTATTCGATATATGAGCAAAAAATTACGGTTTTTATTGTCCGTGAAAAGGTTAATAGATCATGGTATTCTCTTATCTCAAAGGACTGCAACGATGCTGTTGTAGTCTCGTAAAAACTACCCAAGGGAAAGAGAGCTAGCAATCACCGAGAGCATCGTTCGAATCCCACTTGGGACTGGTAACAATCAACCAGCAATTCCGTTGAAAAAGGCAATAGGCATTTAGCCAAACAAAGAGAAATCGTGTGACGAGAATTCGTTAAAAATTCGTCTAATGTATATCAAAAAATCTTATATAAGAACGAGCATTTCATAAGAAGCATAACGTGTTTTCGCATTAACGCGAAATATTATTTTCATTGTCTATAGAACGAAACGATTTTCATTTATATATTTCTTAATTTGCTTAATAAAGCAGTGGTTCCCAATGTAGGTCGTAAAATGTTTTTAGGTTAATTAGTTATTTTTAGTAAATTTATTTTTTTCTATTTATTTATCTTAATATATCATAATATATAAATTGATTACAGGAATTAATAATATTCCTACAGGATAATAATTTTCTACAGGAATATTAGAATAATCTTTTCGTTATGTATCTCAAAGTGCTGCTGTGACAAAATCGTGTTAATAGTACGAAGAATTTAAAGAAAGAAGAGAAAGAAACTAAAAAAAAATTAAATGTATTTAATATTTTCGCGGCAAAAAAGAAAAAAAAATAACAAGATTATCAAAATCGATTCAGAGGTCGCGTTGCTGGTTACGTTTTAGCTATTTGCGTTAAAGAGACCAGAACGTGAAATGAGAATCAATAATCGAAAGAAGGATGAATACGGATGCGGTAGCAACGTGATGTAGCCACGTGACTTAGATTTACTCCGGTGAGAAAATTTAAGGACTTATATTAAAATAACGAATGTACAAATGAATATGCGTACTTATATACGTACATATACATTGTATTTCTAATTATTAATCGATTTACTGATTTCTTTTACGCGATCAATAACGCGAAAAATTCTTGATAAAAAAGAAAGTTATTTCCCTTCCCCTTCAATAATCTCGCAATTTTATCTTTTATAGATTTGCGTCGAAACGAATAATCTCTATGCCTTACTGCGGGTTTAACGAATGTTTGCAATAAGGATGAAGTTTCTAAACATGGCTGTCCTATTTTCTTGAAATCATTCGTACCTGAATACTGACCGAACTTTAACTGGCTTCGATTTGAAAGGACCCGCGTTCCCTTAGGTATTTCCAGATAGAACTTTTCGAATATTTATACGAACAAACGAGCGTGTCTATATTGGAAATATCGCCAGAGAGCTAAATCAGAAATTGAGGTATAACTAAATATATCCGTACCATTCTCAGACATTCGTCATTTCCTTCCATCTTTTTTATTGAATTTAAAAAATATCCACGTAGCAGACAATGAACAGACAGGAAATCGATTCGAGGTGAGAACCACGCGATATACGATACACTGAAAATTAATTTTGTAGGGCGTAGAAGAAGAAAAAGAAACTGAAAAGAACGACAAGACGTTACCCGTGAAGATCTATGGTATCGAGACGATATTAAACCGAACAAGATAACACTCTTGGAGAAGGTTCCTGGATATATAAATTGTTATCAATCAAGTTGGATCCTGTAGTAACAAAATCGATTTATTTCCCTTCGCTCTGAAAATTTTACACAGCTATGTAAGTCTATTTAGCTTGCAATTAATAATAGAACATTGTTTTTAGATAAAATAAGAAAGGAACGATTTTCAAGATGAATTTCACAAGTGGTTACCTAGTGGTCGAAGGAGGAAAGTTTCTAATTTTTAGGGAGAGACCAGAGAGTAACAATAGCCATACGGTCTACTATTCCCCAGACGCTCCTCGCATCATCGATCCTATATAACCTAACACAGTTTCTTCTCTCATCCTCTGCTATGGTATCACGGAAAAACCATGTTATTGCTAACCTCCTCGCTTTCAACGTTGTCTCGAAGAAATTACGCTTTTTCTTTCGGTAAGGCGAGGCGAAGAAAAAAAATTTGCCACGCCTTTGTCGCTTCACCGTGTTTCACGTGATCAAATATTGTTTTCACACTCTAATGTGCAATTCTGACCTTGGCCTACTTTAATCATCGCCATTCAACATAATCGGGGAGGAAACGTTATCTTCGATTAAACGAAGCTTTATTAGTAAAAGATATTTGAATCAAACAATGGTCGTTTTTCCTTTTTCTTCTAATTTCTCGCGATGCGAGAAGATGCTTCTTTCATCGACGTATTGTTTTCTTAATACGAAAACATTCGTTCTACGATAGAAAAGTCTAATTTCCGTAACCACAATCCGTTTCATCTTGTATCTACGACTATGTTAAAAGGTTCTTTGTTTTCATGGCGATGATAAATGCTTATCATGGTGCAAAGGTAATCGTGTATCTGGTAAATGTGGTAAATTTGGAGACATCGTTACAAAACGACAAGCAATATCTTGAATGATCAAACTTCAATATAACCGTGTGATAATCCTACCATTTATTTGTCATTTCTTTATGACACCAAACTCAATCCAATATTGCAATAAATCAAACAAAACGGTTTTTTGAAAAATTTTAATAGAGGTAATCTTTTTTAACGATGGAAACTATGAATAGAAATTTGATCGATAAATAAACGGAAATAAGGGCAAAGTATATTTGGATACATAAAGGTAAAAGAGGATAATTCGTACAACGTATTAAAACTTTTCCTCTTTTCTACGTTGCTTCACCGTATCGATCGAGAAAAGTCTTTTACCGCTGGGTCACACGGAGACGAGAACCGATTGTTTACGGATTCTATCTCTTCCCATTCTATGTCTATATTGAAATTTCAGAAAATATTTTATTCGTTTATTGTTTAACGCATATATCCACATAAAACTTAAATAGATAATTAGATACAGATATATATATATATATATATATGTATATCTGTTTGAATGTATTTCCTCTAAATATTAGATCATTCATTATATATAGAATGGAGATAGAGATCGAAGAAATAGACTGCAGATAATGAGGACACGAGAATAAAAAGAATTTTATTTTATACTTCTTCTTTGTCGAATCAGTTCCTTCGTCCTAAACTGAAGGAATCTTAACCGAAAGATGCTTCAACCTCTGCGATATTGATCCGTATCCCATCCACATGGAACTAGAACTCTCCTCCAGTTTTCTTCTCTTATCGTTTTCCCCCTACTTTTTACTTCTCTGTTATCCGATTCTCTATACTTTCGTTCTTCTTTTGGCCCTTCAACTTCCATACATGTAACTCTCTTTCGTTCTCTTTCCACTTTTGTTTCTGCACATCCTTTTCAAAAATTTTATCCAACCAAAAAAGAAGCTTTCTTCCTTCGAACTTTTCTATCTTTAATTTTAAAAAACTTTCTTATTCAAAAAAGAAGAGAAAGAGAAAGAGAAAGAGAATTTTATGGGTATAAGAAAGAAAGAAAGAAAGAAGAGGAAAAAATATCGTTTCTTAAAAAAAAAGAAACATACCGGAAGGAATTCGATTTTAATAAATTTATCAAATGAATGCTCTCATTTATAACAATTTATCAATTTTTTCTTATAAAAAATTTTTCTAACAATTTTTTCTAATAAAAAATTTCAATTTTGCAGGTTGGAAGACTATATTATATCTATTTTCAGATCCAAAAATCATTGTATCTTTTTATATCATGGAATATTCGAATAACTAAGAAATTTTTCAATCAAATATCTTGTTGAGATACTTTCGAAAATGACTAGGAATTAAAAAAAAAAAAAAAGGAAAAAACTTTATTCTGAAGATAGATATAAATTATTCAAACAATTTACTTAAACGTGTTAGAAGCAACCATGAATATTGAAATAAAGATGAAGAGTTCTTATTACATATTTCATCACGTCATCATATACTGTAATAGTGTTTTCCCAGTCAGGTATTTAAGCATCTACTTAGATTAAGTAAAGTAGTACAATTATGCTCAGGCACAATTGTGTGCATATATGTCGATCAATTGTTATCAATTACGTCTTTAACGCTTAACGAGATTCAAATCAAATTACTAATATTAATAACTACATGAAATGATTTGAGTTTTTTTCTCGAAATAAGAGACTGGAAGAAAACGAAAAAAAAAAAAAAAAAAATACAACTTTAGAAAAAGAAAATGAATAGTACAAATGATTGGAATGTTCAAGGTATCGAAGGAAAGTGAAATTTTCTTGAAGAGAATAGAAAGTTTTACCGATAAGTAGTTTTTTTTTTTTTTATGACCTTTTACAATGTCCTCGAAGAACACTCGTCGAAATAAAATAAGGACAGAATGCATCTAAACGTATTGTGTGTATAGTTCGTATCAGTCGATATTTTACAACAGGCCTTGGAATATCGATTTGGTAACTTCTAGACACGTGGCACCGTCATTACGATCGATGTTACAAGAATATTTTATCGAAACTATATTCGCAAACTATTTACCTATACCATAGCTGAATTTCATCATTCTATTTGCAAAACAATAGTCAATACCCAAACAGGAGAAGGAAATTCGCGAGAGAGTCGAGCATGTATATGTATTGCAGAAAGAGAAAATGGAAGGAAATTCTATAAATAGGAACTATATAGTTCGTGCAGTAGCTCGTAATATCGAAGATAGATCAGGTAGTATGCATTTTCGACAATTTTCGATTTAATTTTCGATTAATATTTTTTTTGCAGAAAGAAGTTAGAATATTGACAACGAGAAACTGAATAGTGAAAAAGAAAAATGAAGAAGAAAAAAAAAATAAAGTATAGATAAGAGGAAAATTGATTTTTTTCGTAATAGAGCTATCAAGCTTTAATCCTCTTGTTTAGACATGGTATGGAAAGAGGATACTTGTATCTGAAAGTGTGAAAGTAGAGAAGCGAGTATTCTTTGAAATATCGCGTGAAAGAACATAATGTGGAAAAATTGCGGTAAGTATGTGCGAAAAAAAGATTCGTAAAAGTAAATTGAATACTATGATACTACCTTCCAATTTTGTCTGGGGGATATGGTATGTAGGTCAGGATGGTTGTTTTCTTCGAGCATTTTTCCAGTGCACGATTTTTACCTTCTTGCACTTGTCGTAATATCATCGAATAATAAGAAAGATAGACTATTGTGTAGAAATCTGTTTTTTCCTTTCTTAGAGATTGATTTTTTATTGTTTCTTTGGATGTAAGCATTATTCCCTTTTAGGTTTGCTTGAAATTCCTCCTACAAACGTTGTGAGATTTTTCTTTACTTCAGAAGAAAAGCAAGAAGAAAGAGAAATGGAAATCGGGATAGAAAATAAGATAAAAAGATCGAATGGAAAGGATAAGAAATTTAAAAGATTTTGTACGATTGAAAGGATGTTTCGCTTAAGTTTCCACGAAATCTTGACACGGAAAGAAGCTGTACAGCACAATTCTCGAGCACTCGTAACGTTAAAGTAGAGAGTAGAATAATAGGTACTTGAAACAGTTACGAAATGGCAGCTCAGCTAGATCTCGCACGCGAATTTCTTCTCGAATGAAAACTATTTTGATGTTATTTTTATACGAACTCTATGTGATTAGAGGAAACGAACAAACGATAAGAGATTGCATATAGTATTTTGCAATGACAATATTTTTTTAAAAGTTGTACGATGGAGAGAACAATGACCGAGATACTGACTTAAAGTAACGATCGACTGTATTAAATCCTCCTAACCTAAATAACTTGGTATGATCACAATCATAACTCTATAGTAATAGTGATTCTCTAAACGAAAAGTTTTAACAGGGATATCTTAGACACGCGATGGCACGTTTAAATTACGTAGAACCCAAATACAGAGCAGTGAATCTGCAATCGTAACAGCTCTACGCCCGTGTCTATAACGTCCCTCTATTGGCGTTGAGTAGCTACCGAGCGAGGGCAATCTCGCTATTGATTGCACCTTGCATCCTCCCGCCCCTTTCTCCTGCCGCGATCCCCTCTCCGCGACCATCCTTCGTCCATCCCAACCCTCAGGGCAACCCCTCCGATTCCTCTTTTTCTCTACTACTTTCCTCTTTCCCTCGACTCTTTTCGATTCGAATTTGCCCCAAGCCAAGGGCCAAGAGACGCTCAGGAACGCACATTTTATTCTTTTATTTCTTCGACGCAACATACGGTTTCGATTATTAACTTTATACGACAGAAAGTGATACCATTTTTTTTTAAATTATTACAATATTACAATATTAATAAATATGTTTATAAGAAACGAAATTTATTTCAATAATGAATGTCTGATTATTTGAACTGTCGTTGAATATATAAACAATATATAACAATCGTGAATAATAGTCTTAAGAGATCGAGATATAAAATTGGATACGAAAAGAGAAGATCCTATCCTGTGAATAATACGAAAACTTGATTTAAAACTGATACGTTAATTTTTCACTCAGTCTAACATAACCTAACTTCGTTCGGTCTTCCGATTGGCCGAAATTATTACGGATTTTTATTTAGAGATATCGAAGAACAATGTATCGACTCGCAGTGACTCGCCCCAACTCGCATAGCGACGTCTTGACGTCAATTTTGTTAATTAATTCGCCTTCATTAAAACGATCGATCGAGAGACTCGGGTTGACACGTTAGTTACACTTCACCACCGTGAAAACTCGATTTAACCGCTTAAAGATTTATCGGGGACAACCAGTCTCGTCGACTTGTTATTGCAACGAAAAATTTTGCGCATTTATTGCACACATTTTCATCGATAATAACAAAACTAACGAATTAACAATTTTAAGGAAAATAGTTTCAATTTCTGTAAGATTGAACGTTTAAGATTTGGAAATAATGATTATTTTGAGTAACTCGAGAATTGCAAATTTTTGGTTATGTTATAGGTAAAATAAATGCGCAAAATTTCTTGATATATCAAGAAATGTGCATAATTTGAGTTTCTAATTTTAATAAATTTTAATAAAATCCATCAGCTGACAGATCTTATTTTCACGGCATACACGACATACGTACACAATTATGATATTACGCTGAAAAGATAAAAAATTTTCGATCCATGATAGTAAACGTGATTACGCTAATTGTAGGTCGCGAAGCTTTTATGACGCATTTACAATCGATACATTCAGTATGAAAGTTGAAACGACAGAGCAACGAAGCCATTGTTTTCTCATAATGTATAGCGACTGCAATCGACACCCGATACATCACTGTATAAAAGATTAAAATTTCAGCGGGAAATGTCTCGCATTGCATTATTTTGTATTTATATTTTACAAAAATTGTCATAATATATATATATATTTTTTTTTGTTTTAGAACTCTACGATGATTTCTAATCTACGAATCGTGCCTTCCAAAAAATCGGAAAGTATTTTTAATCGTTATAATCAAATTCTTAAAAAAAAATAAAAAAAAAAAACGAAAACGAACAACTTCATTTCAGGAAATCTCGTTACTCGAATGATACGAGGGAACAACTTCGAAGAATTCCAATGTTTAATTATTCAATGAGCATACTTGACGAGAAACATCGATGCGCACAAATGAGAGGAAATTCCGGACAAAGGAGGATATATAGAAGGCGTATCGGAAACGAGATACTCGAAGGAAACACCTAGCTCATCGGGATAATAAGGAATATGCTGGTAGAGTCACATTCATCCGCATAGTTTGTTACCAATTACCCCAAGTGTCCACCTACATCGAATTCTAGACGAGAACCGAGACACCAACACCGTGTCGTTGAATAACATGTATGCATAACTTGCACAGGACACGCGACCCGTACACCTATACACGCGCCTATCCATGTGGATATGCAGACATATATACATACGAAACGAACGAGGAATAGGAGTGGCCGTATACTGCATCGGACAGCTTGTAACTGCGTATATTATTCATCGGTAATAATCATTCTCCAAAAATGTAACCAACCGTAAACAGCTTTTTATATTATCGTACAAAACGATTTCGATCAAAAATCGTCGTTGCCATTGAATTTTCGTGTCGAATATTTCATTCGTTTATTACTTCGACAAAAAGTGCACGAACGTTTCGAACGAGCGTACCGATAACCGAAGGGAAAGAAAATATTCTAAGTTGCCGAAGAAAAGTTCGTTTGGTGGGAAGAAACTTAATCTTAATGTTGTGTATCGTATATACTCTCCCTCCACATTTCCCCATATTTTTTGCAGCTTCAAGTTTCCCCTAAGGAACGTTCGACTAAATTATTCGCTTTCTTCTGTATCTCTCTCTCTTTCCCCTCCTACTCGCCAAACGTTTCTTTCATCTCCCGCCCCAAGTTTTCCTTCCCACCTACCTAGTTTCTCATTTTTAACTTGGCAACGTCGCCTTCGATTTCAATAGATACATTTCCAATCGTCCCGTTATTTGGAACAAAACTATATCTCCGTGGATGGATTATTTTAAAAGAGTAGGAATTAGATCGATATTTTTCACGTGTCTGAATTTGTTAATTTTTTTTTTCTTTTTTTTTTTTACCAAAATTCGTAGTTATTCGTAAGAGTTAATTCGCTGTTGCAAACAAGTCGTAAGCAAACTAGCTGCCATAAGCAACCAGTTTCACAGCGACGGTTGACTATACTTGACGTTTAATCATTAAACCACTTCGTGCGCGTCAACGTGTTCATATACGCGCGTGTATATACATACGTATCTACACACGTAGCAAATAATAAACGATTAGATTGGAGAGGTACGACGCGCATTTCCCGTGTCATATATTTTTTTTTTTTTTAACAAAATCTTTCTAACGCGAAATCAAACGCGAAACGATCATTGACGATCCTTTTCTATTTGACATTCACGTTACACAACAGCAATGATTCTACAAGTGAGTGCGTTAACTGAACAAGCACGGATACACCTCTGACACTTTCGTTCAAAACTTGGAAACCGAAACGGTCGCAAGTTTGACGCGTTACGTTCAATTTCCAAAGGTAATCGTTCTCAAACAAACGATCCGTCATTGGGACAGCGGTTTCGAGAAGGGACAACGGGCCATTAACAAGGTTAGGATTTCCCTCTGCCTCTGTGCCAATCCGTGTGTATACTTTGCCTACCATCTCTGTCTCTATCTATTATATGTATACATAGAAGTTGAGGAAAGCAACATACGCGTAAGCGCCGGCGCTAGATTCAGAGGAGAGAGAGAGTAGCAATGACCTGGCTGCCTGCAACTGCAGCTGCAACTGCGCCGGTCGTTCTATTCCGTGCACCTGCACTTGCGACCTTTCAATCCTCGAATTTAAATCCCGTTAAATCCGGATCGCGATTTCTTTAAGAGTCGCCGATTATGATTATTTTTAATCGTCCATTTTTATTCATTTCATTTATCTTGATGCAGTCGAGGAGTGAATAAAAAAAAAAAAAAGAAAAGCCCGTGAATCGAAGCGGTGAAATTCTCGAGCCGTTCTTCTTCGTGTAAGTGATCGTGTAAGTAAATTTCAATAAGGAAAAAAAGAAAAAAGCGATATAGATATAAAGGATAAAAGCACGACACGTGACTGATAACGTGTGACGCAATGTTCAACGCACTGGAATATCTGGAAATTGATTTTCTATACGGTAAAAAAAGGGAGAGAAGTGTGAAATTAGGTTAATAAACAATTGTACGAAACTCGTTGGAAAAAGTTGAAATCGATAAGGAAGGGAGGATGTAACCGAATAAGAGGTTGGCGCACTCTTTGGAAATTGCTCGATCGATCGAATATCGAATACGAGTAGGATCGTGTTCTATACGATATAGATATAAACGGTCTCCAAAGATTCGAGAGAACGGACAGCTTTACACGGTAAATGAAATTCACGTACAAATCTATGTTATTCCCTGAAGTATGTTCAGACGAACGAAGGAGATCGATCTCGTGAGAACGTGTTCTGTAATTAGCTGCCTGAGAAACGGTCCAATTAATTGGAATGCGAGATACGTTAAGATCCTCGATACCTTATCCTTATCCTTGATTTATAATTAGATCATTTTGGTCTATCGGTCCTTCCAGTGCTTCGACCGGATTCAATCAACGATACGAAGCTCCATTTCGTTCGACAAAAATTTCAAACAGATCGTAAAAAGTATCGACGAAAGGGCGAAATTAGAAGAGGAGATGGCTCGTGTATCGTAACCGATATCTTATCATTGTCTAACATTTTCGTCCCTCTAATTTATTATTAGGTCAACGATCCTTCAATTTTCATCGAGAACGAACGAATTAATTAATTCCTCTCCTTTCTTTTTTTTTTTTTTCCTAAACATTTTATTCGTTTCATCGAAATGAAAAATGTAGCGCGCCCCCTCCCCCTCTCAAATGTATATAGTATAGTATAATGTATATAATGTATATAGTATAATAAAAATATGGAGAGAAGAAATTTTCGTCCATAATCCGTGACAAAGAGAGGCGGAAGCACGTCACGCGCTTATATTATGCGGATCGAACAATCCGTGTGGAGGGAAGGGAAAAGAAATGGGATACACATCGAAACAGGTTGCATCGGGCAAATATGGAAATTGAAATAACGAACGAAGAAAACGAATCATCGGCTCATACATATGTATGTAAAGGATAATACACAGTGTCTGAATTCGACATTAACTCTGTAGCCGCAAATGGGGCGAACGAATGGCTGTGCTAATCGTTTCAAATCGATATCGCGCTCGAGCTGGCATCCACGTTGCTCGAGCGCCTCTTCTTCCGTAAATTTCTCTCGGCTCGAAAACTCTCGACGCGAAACGACGATCGGTGAAAAAGAATTTTTCGCCGTCTACCACGTTTCGAATTATTAACTCGCTCTCCAAGAATTCTCATTCAGGGGAAGGGGCGATATGCAAGTATATCAAAATATCATTGACGAGTAATCAAATCTACTAGTTTTTTTTCTTTTTTTTTTGGCAATGCTCGCTCGAGAGCTTTGGCCATCGAGTGCAAAGAAGGAACGGAGACGAAATAATGGATCGGTTGTACGTGCAACGAATCGAGGATACGGAAAATATCTCGAAACAAAGACGGCTTGGCAAGGATTCGTTGGGGAAAAAAAAGGCGACTCGGTAAAAAAAAAAAAGGAAAAGCTAGGAGAAATTGAATCCGTTCCTAATTGCGGGGCATTCCATACCAAACGCTTATTAGCGTTGATTGTGAAAGAGGTCGTTCGCCAAGGGTGCACGCGATGGTAATGCAAGTCTCTTGCCAACTACATTCCGCCTCGTCTGGCAAACCGTTTCCACTTTCTTCCCTACGTTTCGTGAAAACAGTCGAAGAAGAATTCCTTTTTTCTTTTTTTTTTTTCACGATATTTCTCTTCTCGTTTATTAATATATTATATCGAGAACCGATATTACTTGGCAGCAAGATGTTTGCAACCGATTTGCCTAGGTCAGCCAAGGAATAGTTGAACTATGAAAAAAAGAAAAAAAATATACATACACATACATACATATATATATGGGGAGAAAGGAAACGAAACTAAAAGAAAGAGAAGAGAGTGCAGCATCTCTTACCTTGCAGTGGGTGCAGTTGAAGATGACGGAATAGGGCTGTGCACAGTCGTATCGCGCGAGCACTTCCTCGAACTCACAATGCAATGTTGCGGCTAACTTATCGACGTCCAACAGCTTGTCCAGGGCATCGGCGCACTTCTGGCCACCGTTTAGCACATTCTCGAGCGGACCACCCTTGCCAGGTGCCAGGGCGTTGACCACCGTGTGATCGCAGCAGTGCCGCAGACGCAGCCCGCTCATGAACCGGTATCGATTCTCCCTTAGGGTTGAAAAACTGGCCGGCCAAAATCATCCCGACAGATGTTCCTTTTATGCGACTCCTCGAGATAAAAAAGGCACTGTTCCGGAACCATTCGCACGCCCTCGCCATTTTCTCCATCATCTCCGCCTCTCTCACTCGCGCCACCGCCTCCCCCCGCCCCCGAGAAAGACTTTATCGAACTCGAACCGAACCGTCCCGATTCAACCGCCTCCTCCTCCTCCTCCTCCTCCTCTTCCTCCTCCTCCTCCTCCTCCTCCTCCTCCTCATGCTCTCTCTCGCCGTTCGACCAGTAACAATTCCGCTGACCTTGACCCTGTTCGTCACCTCGAAGAACTCGGAATCGCCCCTCTTCCCCCCGCGCTCGCCACCGAGCAGGGGAGCGGGCAATTCCTCGGCACTTGCGGCACTTTCGGTGGGGCGCAGCTACCCTGAAGATCGGCCGGCGCTGGGCCAGCCAGATCGCAGGCCGACAACCAAGGATTTATTTGGTTCACCTTCCAGCTGTATTCGTTGTAAGGATGCGTCGATTCGGTTTCGAAAGGGAAAGCTTCCCTGTAAGCCCACTCCTCCACCTCCCGTTGCTCGCGGGCCTGATCATCCGCCTGCTGTTCCTCGTGTCGGCGACGATGATGCCCGTCCTTACCACCGTGCTGCTCGACGTCACGAACCAACTGTTCACGCGTCCCCTGCTCCCCTTCATCCATCTGCCGATAATGTTGCTGGTGTTGTTGCTCTTGCTGTTGTTGGCGTTGATGCGCGGCGACGCTCGAGGATAACAACAGGGACGAAATTTGGGTGGCGTTGTGCCGGGGAAGGTTTTGCACGAGGGATGGATTATGGGTGAAATCGGGGATAAACTGTCCGGAGGGATTCGTGGAACACACCACCGGGCAAGCCAATAGATACAAGATGAACAGCAATCCGTACTTTCGGCCGCACCAATTATTGTTGTTGTTGTTACTCGATACCTTTGTTGGTCCGTTCGTCGAGAGTTTCGTCACGTTCTCGCCACTTCCGTTGGTGATCGGGTTCCGTTGGTGGAACCGGGCAGTGTAGTGGCTCTCGCGTTTCCCGCCGTTTACACTCGCGGCGCGCACCTTGACGCGCGTACGACTACCTCCCCCTCCCCAACAATTCAGCTCACCGCGATCTCGAAATTTTCGATAACGTTCTCCCTCCTCCCCACAAATACTTTCCACCACTTGGCTCGCCTCGTCCGTAATTCGTCGCGTGACCCGGCGAAACTTGGTCTCTTCTTCTTCCTCGCCTGTACGCTTATCCTCTTCGAAACGAACGTCCCCGATCTCGGGGGATGACGCGACACGCGGCTCGTCCTTATCACCGCGACAGCTCTCGATATCGTTCTCGTCATTGTAGGCAGTGTAAGAAAATGCATCGACTGAAGGAACGTGCGTGACATTCGCGATACAGATTCGAGAGAAATTGACGGATTCCTCGAACGGATTCGCGCGATCCTCGTTCTTCCACCTCGTCCTCGGTTTCCTGCTTCCGATGTAACAAGATCGTGACCTCGATTCTTGGGACGTCGATAAAATAAGATCGTCGGTGTGATCCTCGTCATCGTCGTCGTCGCCGTCGTCGTTACAGCCGCCACCATCGTCACCTTCCTTTTCCTCGTTTTCGACGTTGAATCGATCGTTCCCTCGCTGTACACGACATTCACCGCTTTTTTTCTGCAAAATATTCGTTCGAATGCGCGCGCGCACTCCGCTGCGGTAAACCGAGTCATAAGAGACACGAAAGGCAGTGGCGTTTCTGGTTTCGGATCCGTCCCCGTGCTCGACCGAGCAACGATCAACCGACGAGGAAAATCGACGGTGATAGGCGCGACCGTCCGCGACAACATCGGCGGGATCTCGTTCCCGCTTGAATATCTCGGGGCCACGAGCGAACCTCGGGACCGACGAGGCCCGGAAACGAAACAAACATATTCCCGGTGTGGTATAGTCTTGGAGGCGATGGAAAGGCAACAATCTCGAATGGTGGATAGCGTTCCCGTTGTTCCAATTGTACGACGTAGATGGTCCCGTGAATTGGGCCGGATCGAGCCGCATGGACACAATCTCGGGAACGCTAGCGTCCCCGGTTTGCCCCGACGACGACGACGACGACGACGACGGTCGTCCCCGTCGACGGTCCACGCCGCAAAGTCGCCACGCGTACCGATCCCTTTCTTCCCCGTCGTCTTTCCCCCGGCGTTGCCTTCCCGCTGTTGACAACGACGCCGATGATCCAAACTCGTGATAACGAATTTGTCGTCCGGATGATCCCTGTTGCGATCGCGCGCGTATCCGTCCTCGTCTCTGCGCTGCAAAAGGCCCCGCATCGCTGCAACCAAGGATCGAGGCTTTTCTTAGCTTCGCGCGCCCGCCTCTCCTCCACTCTATCGTTTCCTCTCCACGTCGTCCACGTTTCTTCCGCGACGTTGAACGGGTTACCACCGGTGACACCGATGATTCCTTCGCTCCCTTTACTCTCCGTGCACCGGTCGTCACCCCTCTCGGTGGCGAGGCGGTGAATATCGAATACGCGAAACAGGACTCCGCTCTCGTTGGAACAATTACGATGCGTTGATACGGGCCTTGTTGTTGTCGTCGTTGGTTCGAACGTTGATTCGATGATTCGAAGCGATGCGACTCCTCTGTCGTACTCCCTGTGTCTATCGTATAACCGATACGATCGGTTGTAAACAAGGATAGGTTCGGCGAGTACTTGGTACTCTCGCGGATTATCGAGAGAATGTTGTTTTCGAGACGACTCGTGGTTGGTGTCAGCCCCGCACGTAGATATCCCGGAGCCGATAGCCAGATGACAGCTGTCCGAGCGGCCCGGGTCGGCGGGGCCCTTAGAAGTCCCCCTGGAGGAGGCGGCCTTCTCCACGATCCCGGGGATCTCGATGATCTCGACGGTGATCCGCGAACCAAACGGCCAATTCGAACCGCGCCAACGCTCGGACAAGCGGTACGGTAGAAACACTGAACGACGACTCGCGCGGCAACGGCAATAACAATGGCGTGACCACGCGCTCCACGCACTCGGGATTCTCGTGCCACCGCCGCCGCCGCTGCACCCGATGATCCACCGCTTTCGCCTCTTCTTTCTGCCGCGCCACCTGCACCGACTCCTCGTGTCGCGCGATCTCGCTCCTCTCCTCGGCCTCGCTCTCCCTCTCCCTCTCGTTCTCGTCCTCCTTCTCGCTCTCTGCCTCGATCTCCCTCGACAACTTGCCCCGTTCCCGATTTCGATCCCGTTCCCGCTCGCTTCCCCCGTTCCTGATCGCGACCCGCTTCCTCTGCCAGATGGCAACCACCGGTCCCGATGCCGTTGCGGCACTGCAACCACGCCGGTAACAGCAGCTCTCGACCAGATTGACCAGTGAGACGGTGATGATTGTAAACACGACGACAACGGTTGTTGTTGTTGTCGTTGTTGCCGTCGTGACCGAAGTTGTTGTGGTTGTAGTTGTTGCCCCGGCGACGACCACGGCGACGGCGACGACCACGGCAGTAGCGACGGCAGTGGCGACGGCAGTGGCGACGACGACGCCGGCGATACTGCCCGTTTCGAGGACGACGGAGAGCTGCGATCTCTCGACCGGCGAAACCACCTCGACACCGTCGTAGTCCCCCTTCCGAGGCTCACCAGCTCCCGATACGGGGCACCGAGGTTCATGCTGCATCCTAAACACCTGGCTATTCTCCCTTTTCCTCTTACCCCCCCTCTCCGCTTCTCGCGCGGATGATCACGCTTGCCGATTACACGGCAACGCGTCCCACCGCGCTAATGACTATTTGAACAGCCACCACGTTGACAGCCTACGCGGTACCGACGTCGCTTCGTTTGCTCGTTGCCATTGCGTCGACTTCATTGGGGACACACCCCAACCAGGTTCGCCACCAGCCTGCCCGAGTACCCACCTTCCGCGAGTACTCTTACCTAACCTTTCCTCCTTGACCCCGTTGCGCTTTTCTCTCCTTCTCTCTCTCTCTCTCTCTCGCTCGCTCGCTCTCGCTCCTCTCTCGCTCTCCCTCTCCCCTTCTCTTTCTCTCTATCTGTCCATCTATCTACCTATCTATCTATGTATCTATCTATCTATCTATCTATCTATATATATATATATCTATCTATCTATCTATCTAACTGTCCGTCTGTCCCTTTCGCTCACTCCCCACAAGTCACAGCCAAGATTCGCTTCACTTCTTACCCGACAATACTTCCAAAACGTATTCTTATTCTTTTCTTTATCCTTTGTTATTGTCTCTCGATATATCCAACGTGTTCTTCTTCCTCTTCTTTTTCTTTTTCTTCTTCTTCTTCCTCCTCTTCCTCCTCCTCCACCTCCTCTTCTTCCTCCTCCTCCGCCTCCTCCTCCTCCTCTTCTTCTTCTTCTCGCTTCCTTTTCGTACACAGCATACAAAAATTCGTTTCTATGAAGCAAAGTGAGGTTATGGGGCTATCCTCGACAAATGGTAGCG